TCCTTCACTAACTCATTTTTGGTTCCCTGTTATCATTATCACGCAGATAGCAGTCGATGTAGGTGATTATTGCTGGATGCATCTCACTCGGAGATGCACCCCGTGCCAGACTATTGTATCCTTAACTGCATTTCTCTAGTTACTATTTATCAACTGATTATTCTGTGTGTGTGTGTGTGTGTACGTGTGTGTATATGTGTGCATGTATGTGTGTGTGTCACCTCTTTGAAGGCTTTTGCAGTGGTCTTTTTTTCCTCGTGAGAACCACTCACTGATATCTGAAGTTCATCAGTTGCGATCAGACTGCGACACATTCCTGCTCATCGGATCTCTTTTTCAGCTTCCAAAACATTATGTATCTGATGGAGAGTCTGATTGTTTGTATGATCAAAAAAAGATATAAACACTTTTACTTTCCTGGTAACTTCATCACAGCCAGAACTCTCTTTTCTGTCTTCGTTAATGACCACCTTTTGCATCTAGACGTCACTGTTTTAAAAATAGTAGTAAGGGATTGATCCTTCCTGTTCGGCACTCTGAGAACATCGACGATTCTCCACTCGAATCAGCACTCATTACACGGAGTGTTTTCGGCTGAGATCCGTCGCGAGTACTTGTTTTCTGGCCAAGTTAGACGTAACTGTCAACTTCTTCCAAATCTCCACATTCTATTTGTATTATGATTTGCGGTCATAGCATTTTTGCTTTTACTATTTTTAGAAACGGCTGAAAGAATCGTTTTTATTCGAATGAAAATTTACGGTTTTGCTTTAAGCGTTAGTATACCACTAATATTTTGAGTTTTGGCTTTTTGCCAATTATCTGCTGTGGTTTTCCAGGTTTTTCTGTTTTTTTCAGGTATGATCCGGAATCTGATAATGTTGTTGTTTGCATGGACTGTACATTCAGCGATCGACGCTGGCCTCTGGGCAAAGTTGAGCAGCCATTGCCTCTCAATATTCTTCTGTACCGATATTTCGCGCAATTTTTCCTGGATGGTTCGATTTGTCCTCGATTAACAAGCTTCACGGATAAACTGTTGCTTTCGCCATCAGCGATGACCAAGTCATGGGCCAAGTTGCAGAAACGGACCGAAACATTACTGAATGCATTGATTCTACATGAGGTTGGTCCTATTCAAAATTTTCTCATTATTTCGTTCATTCATGTTTTTATGCGTTTTGTGCTGTACAGCAGTTGCACAAAATGCATATTGTCACGGGGTTGTCTGTCTGTGTGTTTGTATGTGTGTGTGTTTGTGTGTGTGTGTGTGTGTGTTTGTGTATGGTGTTCGATGCATCTTATTTTACATGTCGAACCTACAGTCGTTGTTAGTTCAGTGAAGAGATTCATCTGTATAATTTTTTGGCCAGTTTTGTCTTGATTCGCAAATTAACCAAAATTTCGTCTAACGTCGTGATTTAGAGTAAAGGTGAGATATGGAAGAATTGATATAGGGTACTCAAATTGTTCAGAAAAAATGATAAGCTTTCACATCTTGATTCTCGAGATACTGAAATGATAAATAATGGCCATTCGAAGGCTGATTCAGAAACGAGCGGTCCAAGTGGGGCGGCCGAAGCGGGTTAAACTGACAAAAAATTTTACTGAAATCATGGATTAAATCACGATGAAACTCGAAAGATGATTTCGGATCTGCAGCCTTTTGAGCTGGGAGATTCAAAGATGCATCTAGTCCAGGGGTTACTTCAGCAGAACACCAAAAATTTTGCTGATATGCGAAAACTCGTGCAAACAGCATTCTTAAAACTGAAAGTTTTGCTTTTGTTCATTGTTAATGTATCTCTTCGCTGCAGGTGCACAGTCGAGCACGTTTACTGGATATCTGGAAAAGCAGGAGCGAATTTTTGTTGGACGAATATCTCGAGTGGCTTCCGCACTTCCTGCATGAAAGCGTTCAAATGATCTGGCCGCCCAGTTGATGTATTCTCCACTCAACCGAGTTATCGTTGTTTTGAAAATTCCGATTTTGGGAAAGTGCCGGTGATTAAAGATATCATTACCTGTTGCTTAGTTTTATTTTCGGTATATTTGTTTTTTGATTTTTTCTCTTTCTTCTTCTGTATTAGTTTTTTGCTACTTTTTTCGTATCAATTTGTGCCTTATTTGTATGTGGGTCACTAGTGGGCATGGCGCAGTGGCAAGCACCTGATGGTCGGGGGTTCGATCCGCGCCACTGGCACAGCCAATCCTTCCATGTTCGTTTCAGTAGTAAACAGCTACTGCGGTATGTCAGGGATTCAAATCTGTCATTAACTTCTTTCTAAGCAACCTTTAACAGAGCGTCTCATGAGCGGCTGTACCAGCGAGTGGTTGCTGTTGGCACTTGCTACTACTCGAGCTACTTCCGATTGCCTCAGCTTCGCACAGCGAGTGAATAGGGAGGGAGTTGTTACTTGTGTATGTATTATGCTTTTTTGCTTTCTCAACTTTAAAAAATTGTTTTTTACTTATTTATTTGTGTTTCTTGAAGTATTTTTTTTTGATTGGAAGCACTTTGTAAATTGTTATTAAAATTGTTAAATATAAAATCACTATAAAAACACTGCAATAATGTTACTTGCTATGCGTTTTTTTTAATGTTGACGCATTAATTTCTATATTTTCCGTTTCCATACGCGGAATAATTGAACTTAGTTGTCCGGTGTATAATTGATTTGTGAAGAAGTTTCCGGCTTTGTGGATGAAGAACCACATAATCAATTAACAGCTTCTATCGGTAAATAAACCCTTTCTAATTAAGAAAAGCTTAAGCCACAATCTTCAGCCGGAGTTTTACACTTTAAGAAGTTGCCGATTGGGCGGGTTTCACAGCATCGCTGGAAGTGTGAAACCGAGGTACTGTTCAAACTACCGCTGTGCTGAAGGCAATGACGTACGAATGTGAAACGTGGTCACTGACAGAAGCAGAAGAGCGAGTGCTGGCTGTGACAGAGAAAGCGATGGAGCGAGGGATGCTTCATGACCACATAAACAATCAGGCTCTTCATCAAATATGGGAATGCGCATTACGAATACATGTGGGAAGAGTAGTCCAATGGACATTATGTATTGCTTTTTTTGATCAACCCTGTCACTGAAATGGTACTCACGAGAAAGTAAACGATCACTCGGGCACATACATCCAGCAAACGATTGTGTGCAAACTGGAAGTGCGCAACACTGGATCAGTTATTAGCATATGATCACTAACATACAATCTCATATTGATTATCCGGGAATTGATTGTGCTTATTTGTCACAATCAATTGGTGAATGTTAGCATTGTGCGTCCCACTGTAAATACCGTGAGGTCGGTTTGTTTTGCAGCCACTGAGTGCCGCATGCATTGATATAATAAGCATTTAGGCTTGCAAGTTCAGTAAAAATGTCCTTGCAGCCATTTTAGCCAATGGATTCACCAGAACTACACTGATATTGTATTTCTTGTGTTTAACCTCAGATCTGAATATTTTCGAAGCTCCGAGGCAGAGAGATGTAGGGAGGGGGATAACAACAACAGTTTGTGCTCATATTTCAAATTTGGAAATTTCGAATTATAGCTGATGTTCGAGTCTGATTTATTTTTTATGTATATATACTGCTTAGCAAAACCTGGAATTTCGGGCGCTAAAGCGCAAGATATTGTAGTTTAAAGCGAATTTTCTTTTTTTTTTGGTGGAGAGGAAGGGGGAGGGGAGGAGAACCTCAAATACTTCATAAAGTTCTGGAAACCGGAAATGTTGTACGATGCGATCAACATTTTTCACGGGTATTCCAAGAACAACTGAAGCACCGCCAAATGTTTCTGGCGGGAGAACCACTGCGCTGGTAATTCCTTCAAGAGACAAAACGAGAACCGACCAGCAAGATTGGTCAAAG